GTTCTATCCCGTTGTCCCTGGAGCCTGTCTCCTTCTAGGATGGTTTGATGTCAGCTCCAATTGCAGTTCCCACGTGGAGAGATGGAGCTTGGGAATTGGCCATGGACAACTCAGCTTCTAGCTGAGACGGTGGGTTGAAACTCTCATCCCAACACCTTAATTGAGACAGGAGCTCTGAGTTACAGTCTCGCTGGAGGCAGTGCTCAGCACTCCAAGAGGCTAAAAATAATGCGTGAGCAATGGATTTGTGCTGCTTTTGTATGGTATTTGCAGAGCCTGTTCCAGAGGAGCCCATCTCCTAGCAAGGGGCTGGAGCTTTAGACATGCAGGTGCAGCTTTAGTTGTGTGTTGGGTGCTGAGCATGGAGATAGTGTCAGGAGTGACTTCTCCACAAGGCGATGGAGAAAATTCCCCTTCATTCCCCCTTTTGGCTCTGCAGTTTGGGCTCTGACATGGACTGAGTGGCTGTGTGTGTGCAGTGACAGGGCGTGTGAGCCTCAGCCTGTGCTTGGTACACACTGTGCTCAGGTGTTTGTTTTCACCTGGGATACACCTCTGTATCAGCAGTGTTCCCACAGCAGGATGTGGGTCATCCCGTGTGGGTGACTCAGTCTGAAGCTGATGGTTCCTTGCTGAAGCCTGGAAGGGTTTAGAAGAAATTAACTCTGTGGTGTGGAGGGGGAAGGAGAATGCTGCAAACCAACTCAGGGACCCTCTTAGTGTCCCTGATCAGGGTGATGGGGATGGGGGAACAGCAGAGCCGAGCCAGGAACCCTCAGAGTGTGATGTTTACACTCTGTCCAACTCCCTGTAGTCCAAATGGCTGGAAAGTTCCTGATGTCTAGAGAGACACTTACCTTGCAAGTCGCTGTGGCTCTCTCCTCCATGGCACCTGCATTCCCATTCCTGTGCTACCTGGTGTGTTTTTCCCCATGGCAGTGCCACATTCTGAGGGAATTCTGTTTCATTTTGGCTCCCTCACCTGCACCAGTGTGATCTGTCCCCCTGGGGAGCAGAGCTTCTCCCCAGGCCTAAAACCTGGAGGTTTCTGTTTCTTGGCTTCCATGCCTTTTTAAGAGAACTAAGAGCATTTTTTGGAGCTAGGCTGTATTTATGGATTTTTGGTTCCTTTTTGGCTCTGCACTCAACAGAAATGAAGGTTGAAGGTCATTATATGAGACAACCAATTCTTGGTGATTATAATTCTCAAAGGTGTTTTTTCCTAAGTTCAAAATAACTTCTGAAATGTCCTTAGTGCTTTAGAGGCACTTAAAATTGATGGGATGGCTCCATTCATGCTGGTAATGGGAATGTGCAGGGTGGGGGAGATGGGAGCAGTGCTCAGGCAGGGGGATGCAAACAGGGGAAGGCCTAGGTAGGAGCTTACAAACAGCCTCAATATTTGAGGCTTTGCTGATAATTCACGATCCAAAGCTAATATAAATTTAAATTATATGCAGTTTGGAAGGTGAGGAAAGATTTACCTTGGGCTGCAGCTAGGGCTGAGGGCAGATCCAGGGTGGGGGAGATGGGAGCAGTGCTCAGGCAGGGGGATGCAAACAGGGGAAGGCCTAGGTAGGAGCTTACAAACAGCCTCAATATTTGAGGCTTTGCTGATAATTCACGATCCAAAGCTAATATAAATTTAAATTATATGCAGTTTGGAAGGTGAGGAAAGATTTACCTTGGGCTGCAGCTAGGGCTGAGGGCAGATCTGGACAGCAGCAGCTTCCTCCTTAAGCATTCCAGGGCTACCTGCTATAGTCCCTGGGTCGTCTAAAGTGTCTCTGCATCGTTAATTAAAGCTTGGCTGGCTCTGTGGAAGCAGCCTGTCCTTCCAGAAGAGTTTTCCCCCCTCTGTCCTGACCGTGCTTGGCTGAATTCCCTCTGGGGGGATTTGATGTTCCCACCTGACTGACCTGTGTCCAGCAGGTCCTCCTGCCTTCCTGAGAGTCACTGCTTTGGTGGTTTGTGGAGGTTTAACCTCCAGAACAGCTCACCACGAGACCTCATGGTTGCAGGTGCTCAGGGGTGATGAGGCTGTGGAGGTTTGTTGTCAGAACAGCATCAAAGTGCTCTGGGGCTCAGTGTGTGTGTAAAACCACAGGATACAATACTGACAGGGTATGTGCTGGAGGGGCCTCACCTGGCACACACAGAGTGGGTAGCACCAGGAGATCTCTCACTGCTAAGGTCCTTGGAGACTTCTGTCCACAACAGGATATTGTGATGTACCTTCTGGGCCCTCCAGTAAGATCAAAATGTGATGAAGTCATGGGCAGCAGGTGTTAGGGATGTTTTGGGAGGCAGGAGCTGAACACGAGCTGAGGTGTTTTATTGTTGGAATCATGTATTATTGTGCAGCCTGGTCTGGTGGGAGATGTCCCAGCCCCCATGGCAAGGGATGGAGTGAGATGAGCTCTGAGGTCCCTCTCTACCTATTCCATGATTCTGTGATATGAAGTTTTCCAAAGAGGTCAGAAAGGAAAGGCACACACAGTGTACCTGAATGTCCCTGTGCCCTGCTCTCATCATCCAGCATGGAAACCTGGTGGTTTCCCAGATTATTGGGATGATCCTTTACATGACCCATGCCAACACCTGCAGCACAGCCGAGGTGTCCTGCCTGTGGGGAGCTGCTCTGTGTGTCACCTGCTCTGCTGCAGTGGAGCAATCACAGCATCTCCTTTGTAGGACAAACCCTCAGATCTCCCTGAGGCTGCAAAACCTGCAGGAAAACTGTGATTTTAGGTCAGCAGCTCTTCCTGCTGCCAAAATCCTTGTGTCTAACAGGATTTCTGCTGGACTCTTCATTACAATTGGCAAGAAAAAAATGAGAGAGTGAACAGTTCTGTCTGCTGTTCCCCTTGCATAGTCTTATTTGGGAGAAGCAGAGTGTGAGAGGACTGTGCTGGCAGAGCCTTTGTGTTATATGTCATGGGCTGCTGAAAGAGTTCGCAGGCTGCACTTCCTTCCCGTGGGCTGGAAGGTCGTTTCCCAGCGCCTGCAGACCCTGCCGGGCTGGGAAATCCTTCTCTCATCACCAGAGAATGAAATGCTCTCCGTGGCTTTCCGTGGCCAACAAAAATCTTTTTGTCATTGCTTCCCTCCCACTGTTTCCCAAGCAGCAAGTTTGCTGACAGGCCTCTCTGAGCAGGGGGAAGAGCTGCTCCGAGGGGAGACAGAGGGTCTGGCAGAGTGTTCTGCACTGCCTGTACCAAACAGCTCCAGGATTGCATGGGAAAGGAGGGTAAGGAAGCAGCTGAGACTGTGGGGCAAAGTTCAGAGACAGAACCCTGCAATTGTCAGCCCAAAGGTGATCTCATGAGGATAACAAGCCCTGGGATCTGTCTGCCTGTGCAAAGCTCTGCTCAGACCTGGTGTGCAGGTGCTGCTGAGCATATGTAGTGACTTTGCTTGTGGTGATTTGTCTACTATAGAAACTGGATGGCTTCTACGGTGAGCCTGGGCAAAGAATCGTTGTTGGAAGATGGAATGCCACCTGCAAAAAAGCCCAGGTAAACTGAACTCTACTCCAGGGAATCTCTCTTTCTGTAGCCTCGCGCTGTTCTCTAAGGAGCATGACCTTGGCTCGGAGCCCCCGCGGTCGTTTCGCTTCCTGATCCAAGAACTACTGGGGCTCTGGCTGTGCCTGGGCGTTCCTGCTGCTGGTGGAACAAAGGCCTTCATGCCCAGAACGTACTCTTTGGGGTTTGTGTGAGGTTGCACACAGAGCTGTACTTTCTGTCCTGTCTCCATGGCCCTGTCCGCACGCGGGGGCAGGTTGGACGCGGTGGTTGTGCTCCCTCGCTCGGGTTGGATGCTGGTTCCCAGGAGGACAGGGAAATACTCAAATGGATATGACTGGGCTGCATGTAAAGGCTAAGTAATTCCTGCCTGGAGGCTCCCTCTGCTAATAAATAGGTCTGACAGTTGTGTGAGTGGGGACCTGACTGGGGCACTCCCACGCTCCCATCCAGCCAAGGCTGGGACAGTGCCTGCTGCAGGCTCAGAACTTCAGGCATGAACTGGGGAACAAGCAGCTAATTCATCTAGGGAGTTGTCTGCCACGAACCTGACTTATTTGTGAGTTCTGGAGGGCTGCAGGTAGTTTCTGTGTAGTCTCAGGGTTGATCAGTGACCATGGAATGAGCAACAGAGAGGCTGGGAGATTATTTTTCCCTTGCTCAGGATATCAGGGCAGAAACAAGTGTATTTATCAGGAGGGAATGGAATGCCTCTGTCAGAGGTGTCACGTAGGACACTAACACTTGGGTATTTGTTACTGTTTTGGATTTCAGTTCCTAGATTTCCAATTGTGCTGTTACACTAGGTCACGAATACTGATTTATTCCTTGTGTATGAAGATTGCAGTCCCCAAACTAAACCCCATTTATCGTTGCTGACAGTGAAACTCTCCTCAAGGAAAGGGTTAACTCATCTGTTTTTATAGGCAGTGGAGGGAAGGCAAAGCTCCATCTGTGTGGTGTCAGCTTCCTTTTCCCTTCTTGCTCAGTGTCACGTGTTTGCTGATCAAACCCATTCCTTTCTCCCTGGGATCCCTCCTCCCACCCTGTGGGAAGCCACAGCCAGGTCCCTGCTGCAGAAAGCAGCCTGACACCAGGCAGGGCACAGAGAGGAGCAGCACATCTGCTCAATGAATAAGAAATGTCACATCTAAAAGCACTGTGCAGGTGTGCAGCCAGGAAAAAAAGGAAGAGGGGAGGAGGAGCAAGGAGAATGCAACCCTGCGGCTCTTCCATGTGACTGTATCATCTGGGCTTCCAAAGGATTGGCCTGGAGCATCCTGCTAGCTCTGCAGGCTCACAGGGAAGGGATTGCTGGAACAGTAACAACCTGCTGAGGGAGATGGGCAGGTGTCCTCCAGGGCAGAGCTGGGGGGAAGGCTTCCCTTCCTTCCTTCTGTGCTGGGATAGCTGGAGCTGCTGTCTCCAGGTCCCTGTGCTGCACCTTGTTTGAAGCAGGTGGTGTTTGCTCCCTTCATGGGGTCTGACCTGGGACAGTGTGTGTCTCTTTCCTTACTGCTCACCACACCTTTCCCACTGCCTCCAGCCTTTCCTCTAGCTTCCAGGTAACTATTACTAACAAGACTTGCCTTATTCCAAATTTTCAATGGATTAGTTTTGCTTCAGAAGCATTCCAGGATGACACTGACATCCCCAGTAACCGTCCTGGTAACATACTCGATTCCCAAATATGTTGTAATTCCCACCTTGGATTGGGAGCATTTGTGCTGCTGATCCATGTCCCTGCACACTGTCTCTTAGGGATACCCAGCTTCTCCTCTTATCCTGTGTTGATCAGATGGCCCTAGTGGACATACTGATCCAAAATTCAGGCAGAGGGCACCTTCCGCACCCTGGGTCTGCACATCCCTTACCCCAGACACCCTTCCATCCGTGGTGGTACCAGCTGTGCTCCTTTCTCCTCTTGCAGGAAGCTGTTGCCAAGCCTCAAAACCAAGAAGCCTCGGGAACTCGTTTTGGTGATTGGGACAGGGATTAGTGCTGCAGTTGCTCCCCAGGTCCCAGCACTGAAGTCTTGGAAGGGGCTGATCCAGGCCCTCCTGGATGCTGCTATTGACTTTGACCTGCTGGAAGATGAAGAGAGCAAACGGTTCCAGAAGTGTCTCCATGAAGACAAGAACTTGGTTCACGTTGCCCATGACCTTATCCAGAAGCTGTCCCCGGTCAGTGTGCACAGATAGTCAGTACTGCCCTGGGTGTAGGCACCAGCTTTAGGAACAGCCAAATTTGGCTCTCCAGCAGTGGTGCCCCATCCGCAACAACTCTGTGTCCAAGGAACCACAAGTGCAGTTCCTGTGCCAGGTTCCTGAGATATAACTCTGCTGTGAGCACAGATCTCGGGTCTTTCACCTGGTCCAGGATGATTAGGGGGCCGAAGACTTCTGCTATGAGGAAAGGCTGAGAGAATTGGAATTGTTCAGCCTGGAGAAGGCTTCAGGGTGACCTAATTGCAGCCTTCCAGTGCCTGAAGGGAGCCCTCAGGAAAGATGGAGAGACTATCTCAAAGGGCCTGGAGTGACAGGACAAAGGGGAATGGCTTCAGGCTGGCAGAGGGCAGGGTTAGATTGGATGTTGGGAAGAAATTCTTCCCTGTGAGGGTGATGAGGCACTGGCACAGGATGTGCAGAGAAGCTGTGGCTGCGCCATCCCTGGAAGTGTTCCAGGCCAGGTTGGATGGGGCTTGGAGCAACCTGGGCTGGTGGAATGTGTCCCTGCCCATAGCAGCTGGTGGGACTGGATGAGCTTTAAGGTCCTTCCAACCCAAACCATCCTGTGACCTGTCATTCTATGATGGTGCTGCAGGGGAGCACCCACAGAGTCAGGGCTCTGTTTGCCCTGCAAGGACCCAGAGCTTTGCAGGGTCTTGGAGAAACATGTGGGTGGTTCTTCCTGGAGTCTTTGGCCTGAGGCTCTGATCGCTCTCTCCCTTCACAGCGCACAAGCAACGTTCGCTCAACCTTTTTCAAAGACTGTTTATACGAGGTGTTTGACGACCTGGAATCAAAAATGGAAGATTCTGGGAAGCAGCTGCTCCAGTCTGTGCTTCACCTGATGGAAAATGGGGCCCTTGTACTCACCACAAACTTTGACAACCTGCTGGAGCTGTACGCAGCACACCAGGGGAAGCACCTCGAGTCGCTTGACCTGACTGATGAAAAGAAGGTAAAGGATGATCATTTCTTTTGTCAGGGCTGTGTGGGGTCAGTGGTGGTGCAGGATGTGTCCTCACACTGCCTGAGGGGATTGTGCTGATGGTAATGGTTTAAATGGTGTCAGACAAGCTCCAGGCAGAGCCTCTGAACATGCAGTGAGCAGTGGGAGAGGAACACTCCTCTCTGGAACGCTGTGCTTGCTGGCTGCCATCCAGTGCTCAGAAGGAGCCCTTAAGCCTGGCATTCCTTTGATCTCTGTCCTTGAAACTCCTGGCTTGGCCTTGCTTCCACATAAGGCTGGAGTTGATGTTTCTAACTGATACGGGAAACTCCTTGTGAGACACAGAGCTGAGCTTTCTATTTTTGTAACGTGCTGCAAAGTGCTTTCTGTGACAGAGCACTTTGGGGGCTGCAACCTTCTCTCTTGCCCTGTGTCCCCTTTCTGCAGTGACTGGATTTCTCCTGTCAGGTTCTTCACATGCTCCAGCTCCTTCTGCCACACTCTCAGATCCATAGGTGCTGTGTTCACACATCTTCCTTCCTCCTGCCCCAGTCAGGCTGTGAACCCCTGAGCTCTTTGCACCTTCCCACCTCATCTTTCCACTGTGGGTTTCAGTGGTGGAGAGTATCTTGTCCTTCTGTTTGCATGTTAACAACATTCCACGTGTGTGTGCTCTGCAGTCCTTGTTCTCCTTCCATTCTGACTCATTTCTGTGCCTCACGTTTCCTGTGTGACCTCTTAATCTACATGGCTGGAAGTACTTACAGTGTTACAAATAAGCATTCTAATTATTGCAAGCTTAAACGAGCTGAGGTCTGCAGGAGCAAACTGAGCACCTCGCAAGTGTCTGAGATGAAGGTCAGCTGCTGAGCTCCCTCAGAGCCAAGAGGGGTCAGGAAACAAAGCTTTGTAGGCTTGAGAAACACACCAATGTGGGATTTAGAGGTTTTCTCCTTTTTCTGCTGAATCTGGTGTATGATTCAGTCTTTTCCCTTCGCATTCACCGATGGACTGGGGTGTTGACCCAAACAAGCACCACAGGCTGTGGCCACAGGATGTGGTGTAGAGGCAGATGGACTCATCTCAGGAGATGAGATGAGGAAGAAGCTTCCTCTTTGGAATGCTTCCCCAAAATGTTGTGTTTAGCAGCACTGTGGTAGCCAATGGGACACACTCACCAGCGTGGCTGTGGGGTTTGTGCTGTGCAGGTGCTGGAGTGGGCGCAGGAGAAGAGGAAGCTCAGTGTCCTGCACATCCACGGCGTCTACACCAACCCCAGCGGCATCGTGCTGCACCCAGCAGGGTACCAGAACGTGCTGCGCAACACCGAGGTCATGGTGAGCCACGCTGGGCCCGGGAGTGTGTCCACAGCTCACACTTGGGTTAACCAGCTCAGCTGAGCTCAGGCTGAGCTTCAGAGGGTGGGGGGAGAGCTCATTAACTGGGGAAGTAAGAGGGGTGGATTCTCCAGCCTGCTACAGTGCCAAACACCTCCCCACGCCTGCTGAAGGATGGCAGTGCTGCAGAGCCTCGTCAGGGCTGAGGCAGGTGTTGTCTCTTGTGAGGATGAAGCTCACCCTGACCAAGAACATCTTTCCCTTTCTTAAAGCGAGAGATTCAGAAGCTCTATGAGAATAAGTCCTTCCTCTTCTTGGGCTGTGGTTGGACTGTTGATGACACCACGTTTCAGGCCCTGTTTCTAGAGGCTGTCAAGCACAAGTCAGACCTGGAGCACTTCATGCTGGTGCGGAGGGGAGATGTGGATGAGTTCAAGAAGCTCCGTGAGAACATGCTGGACAAAGGGATCAAAGTGATCTCCTACGGAGACGAATACACTGACCTGCCTGAGTACTTCGAGCGGCTGGCGAGCGAGATCGCTATGCGGGGCAGGACAGGTACAGAGGGCAGGGGACACCTGGGCTGCCACCGTGGGGAGCAGACAGTGTTAGCAGCCCCTGTTCTCCAGTGCCATACAGAGATTCCTTAAGCCTTGTCTAAAAACAAATCCCTGTCTCCAAGTGCAGCTAGATTTGGGGGTTACTCCTATGAAATCACTGTGTTCTGCCAGTTCAAACAGCTGTGCCGCTTCCCACGCCTGCACACTTTGCTTTCCATGTGCAGCTGCAGCTGTTTGTTCCCTTTCTAGTGAAAGGGCAGTTGGGTCTCGCTGACCTTCGTACTGCTCAGCCTAAGCCAATGCCTTAAGACACAAGGTATCACTAATAAATCATAAAAACAAGGGGAAGAAGGGAGTTTGCTGCCCAGAGCCTTGGCAGGTGTTCTGAGGGTTAGCCCAGCCAGGAAAGTCATGTGACACTGTGCCACGGAGGCAGCTGGTTCACACAGGGGCTCCCCACGTCCCCAGAGTCACCCCAGGGTGGTCTCTCCCCCAGCAATGGTCTCTGCTCCCCCAGGTGTGCCTAAGGAGGGGCAGCAGCAGCTGAATGGCTCCGCGGGTGCCCACACCGAGGTGAAAGGTAAGGAAATCTCTCCTGGGCAGACAGGCCTCGCCCTGTGCGACTCCCTGGAGCCCCAGGCAGGATATTTCAGCCTCTGCTTCCCGCAGGATGCAGCACCTGAGCCTCAGCCCTGCCCCAGGACCTACTGCCCCAGGACCTGAGCCATGGTGGGTGCTCCCGGGATGGGCCGGAGCCAGGCCGGCAGCCCGTGGGGAGGCCAGAGCACACCCTGTCCAGTGCTGCCCACGCCCTGAGCTGGACCCTTCCAGCAGGAACCAGGGCAGAGCCTCCTCGGATGGACCTGGATTAACATAGCAATCGTGGTTTTACGGAGGCTGCCTGTGCCTGGGGAGTGTGGTGCCCCCGGGGGAGCTGCAGCCTCCTCTAATTTCATACCTAGTGCTTTTATATTCTGTATTTCAATTAAAAAATGAAACTTGAGCTTTTTTTTTTTACTGGAAGCTCTAGTTTTCTAGTCCTGTCTTTTTACTGTACAGTATTTTGTATGTTGTATTAAAGGCCTGCTCACTGCACTTGTGGCTGGTGTGTCATTTACAGGCCCTCTCACACCTCACACTGGCAGGAGTTTGCCTCCCCCCACCCCAGAAGGAAACAGGTCCTGGCTGGAGGCAAGTTATTTATACACAGAGAACAAATTATGAAGTTTATTTTATATAAATTATGTCTCTTAGCAGACAGCATTCAATTTATTGCACTATAGCACATCTGCAATACAGAGCTACAAGACATTGTCAGAGAGTTTTGTATTATTCAGTGTAGCACTTCAGACCGGGATCAAGAGGCACTCGAAGAGGGGACAGAGGGTGCAGGAAAGCAGCAAGCAGCCACCATTCTCTTCCAGGATTAATGTGGTTTGGTTTGTTTGCTTTTTTACTAGCAAATAACACTGAGGCCAGTGGGCAGGAGCCAGGCAGGGCACACTGCCCTCCTCCCCCAGCCCCAGCTGCTGCAGCTCTCCGGCTCCTGCCCAAATACGTGGCATTTGGGCACCCAGTGAGTGAGGACACAAATGGGGACCTTAAGGCAATTTAGCATCTCCAGCCCAGGCCATTGCCTTTTTTTTTTTTGGTTTATCAGCTTCAGGGGAGCTGCCACAAAGCAGCGACATCAACAGCCAGATCTAACACTGCCACTAAGCCAAAGTCCCTCCTGCCTCCTCCCTAAGCGGGTCTAAAAATCAAAAGCAGCTCCAAAAAATGCCTTCACACCCCTCAAAAAGCACAGCAGGTCCTGGTACTGCCCACCCCCCCGTGCAGCACGAACAATACAAAGCTCTGGATTCGGTCTCCCCGCAAGGTAGCCTGCGGCACTGAGCAGAGTGGAGGAACCCAGGGAAGGGCTTTTCCTGGATAAAAGGGATTTATCCAAGAAAAGTTCCCTGCTGCTGGTATTGCTTCACTCTGCTCTGCACTACACGGGAAAGACTAGTCGGTATTGGGGTAAAGCATGTTCTTCTCGGACGTCTGCACACAGCGATTTGGTGGTTTAGGCCTTCATGAGTGCTGCGACCACAGCCTTGGCGTTAAGGCTTCGCAGATCACAGTAGGTTTGTCCAGTACCAACGAAAACGATGGGCTTGCTCGTGATGTAGGTCATGGAGATGGCAGCACCCACCTGCAGGACAAGCAGCACCATCGAACTCAGCGCTCCCCTGTGGACACCTCAGGGAGCTCAGCAATCATCACTCCCCAGGGCATGGAAACCAGGCTGCTCAATGTGGGTTACTTGGCTTAGATATGAGAGGAGAGCACCAAAGTGCCCTGTTTGATGGCTCCCATCTCTCCCCTCCAGTCACAGAATCAATCAAGTTAGAAAAGATCTCTGAGATCATCAAGTCCAAGCAATGACCTAACACCGCCGCGTCAACTAGACCATGGCACTAAATGCCACCTCCACTCTCTCCTGTAACACCTCCAAGGATGGTGACTCCACC